TTGGGGTGAAAGGAGACGCTTGTGCTCAAACATTCCTTCTGATTGCTGATCAAAAGGTTCTTTATGTGTTGCACCCTAGGAGCACTTCAGGGAATTCACTCCAAGATCACCTAGATAACCCTTCAAAGCCTTTCATCTATCTCTATAAGCTGCCTAATAGTCATGAATTCTTGATTTTTCATATTGAGAAATGATTTTTCCGTTACTTTTTTTAATACTTCTCTAGCTATTTTTTGAATAGTTTTTTTGTGTCACTTTTAGCTCGTGGCATAGATTCACGCTCATCTTTGAGGATGTCAAATCCTAATTTGTCTATTTGTGAACTAAACTAAAACATTAGTTAGCATACAGAGAAAGCGAAAAAATAAGAGAGGGAATATAACAAAGCTCCATGGATTTTCATTATAGAAAGCTTTGCGTACAAGAGATTGCACAAGATTGCATTATCTCAGGCTCTTCTTACGACCTCTATTAGTAGGTTAGAATCGAGATTCAAGTACTACACAAATAAGTTAAATAATAAGATATAAGAATAATAAAGAGTAGAAAGCAAAATCCATTAGTTACATGTTGTAAAATACAATAGGCGTATAACCTGAATGAGAACTTAGATTTATGGTCGATCGACACTAGAAAGAAGTTATTGGTTCTCCTGAAGAAGTTGACAAATAAATTTTAAGCATGGGTGACCATACTTATGCTTAGTCGGTTGACAAGTTCACCATAAGTCTAGCAAGCACTATCTTAATCCAAGCTGGTGAGTTTTCCTTAAGACCATCTAAAGAGTCCACCTTAATCCTGGTTGGCTAGTCAATCTTGAACTCGGCCAACGAGTTCTGCCGCAAAACCGAGTAATGAATTCCATCTTGACTGGCATATTCATCCTTGAAAAAATGGGTCTATAAGTAATATAAACATTTTGCTTATGCAGATGGTCAAAACTTTCACACGCTCTTTAAATAACCTCATGAAAATACTCATTTATCAATAAGTTTTGGGCTCTAAAACGCCACCTTTCTCTAATAATACAGGCATAGGAGTAAAGTAATCAATTTGATTTTTAAGGAGGCGTGTTGAATATTAGATAAGACACTACCTAAACATTTCATCCTCTTATATGGATTTTATGATCAAGTCTGAATCTTCTCATAGGTGCAAGCCTTTAAGAGTAATTAACTCACTCAATTGCAAAAAGGAAATTTTAATTAAAAATAGTCTATAGGCTCAAAGATGATTTGCTTTTATAGTAGCAATTTGAATCGAGGAATAAAAATAACACAAATGACTCAAAGTAGATAATGAAGGAATAATAAGAATCAAATCAAGATATCAAATTATCTTCATTCCAAGTTTTCAAATGCCCTGTTCTACTTAGCCAGTGAGGATATAGTTCAACATAGTCAAAAGATTCTAGATAGTAAACATCTGTAACATTATGCAAACGAGGCATCACAGACTAGGGCTGAAAAAAATGCTGAAGAGAAAAAAATTAACCTTAACTAGTAGAGAGTTTCATGCCTTATCATATTTTACTACTCATAACTCAAACTTAGTCATTAAGAACCATAACTAGTAGAGAGTTTCATGCCTTATCAAATTATCTTCATTTCAAGTTTTCAAATGCCCTGTTCTACTTAGCCAGTGAGGATATAGTTCAACCTAGTCAAAAGATTATAGATAGTAAACATCTATAACATTATGCAAACGAGGCATTACAGACTACGATTGAAAAACATGCTTAAGAGAAAAAAATTAACCTTAACTCAAACTTAGTCATTAAGAACTTCTAAACTTTGTTTATAATCAAAATATACTAGCATCATCACAATCAAGCCAAAAATTGGTCAAGAGGACAAATATTACTAACATGAGATTTTTCTAGTCATATGTACACATTTTATATGACATTAACTCTTCACGAGCATTACTCAAACTTATATTTGCCTTCATTGGAATACTACTACTGGAAATGGATGGGGATTGCTCTTTTTGGATGTGAACACACATGATTGCACAAGCACACTTTTTCTTAAGAGTAAAAAATTTAAATGGAATCATTTCATTTATGATTTATAGATTTGTAACAATTATGCCAATATAAAATGTATTTACATTGGAATTTAATAAGGTATTTTTCAAAGGATCTTTGATTATGATATTCTAATAACTAAACCAATCATTAGCATAAGGATTCAAGTATTTATCTTAATGATTACGAGCTTGATTTTGAATGTAAATCTTTGCAATTATAATTTACTAATAACCAAATCATCATTGGGAAAATACTAAAAACGCTTCTTTCATGAATTTTGGGAGAACATTCAATGATGAGAATCTTGATTAGTTATGATTAATGATAATCATCCCCATCATGGGGAATATAGCTCCAAGTTATGAATTAGGAGCATGATATTATGCACAATTCTTCTAGTATTGAATTTCAATAACAAATACCATCTAGAAAATGCTCAAAAAATTTGAATGGTGCTATATAATTATTATATAATTTTTTAAATAATAATTTCTTGGCACAAAGTTTAATCTTCTGTAAGTCTTCCTTCAATAAGCAAGTTGACAACTTCATCCATCAAATTGGTGACTTCATCTGATAATGCAATAAAATTTTCAAGCAAACTGTGCCTTCATCTAACAAATTGCCAACTACATCCAATAAGTTTTTGCATGTACATTAGTGTACTTTAGGCCACTACTTTTTATGATTTAAAAATAGCTTTTATTTACAGCATTAATCTTGATATAAAGCAATAAATAGGAAATCCAAAAAGAAATTTTAGAACTCCAGATCATTTGTACACAAGTAAATACTTTTGACAATCTAGTGGAAAATTCTAGGACTTCTCTCTCTAGCTTCGTCAAATTTCTTCTTTTTCTATCTTTTTCTACTTTTTTTCAACGAGCCTTGTGAGAAAAACCGACATTGTCTATGGGTATATTTGGATTCAACAAAAACTTAGAACATTAGATATTTGACAATTTGGATAGTTTTGGTTGGATTCCCCAACCACCTTGAAGAAAAAGACCAAAATAAACCCTAAGCAAGTGAGCTAAACTTAAATAAGAATTACCAAACCTATGTCATATAAGATAATGTTCAATGATTACCAAACTAGGAGTTAGTTAGCTCGCCATTGATCAACCCTACTTGGAAAACTCTAAATCATTTACATCATCCATTGATGGAAAAGTGTTGAAAATTAACCTAGTGAAGCCTTACAATGCACAGGTTCATTCACTTACTTTTATGATGAGTTTCAAATGTTGCCCACATTTGTTTATTAGCTCTCTTATCAAGTTTGACCTTTAATTGAGTACAACCAATATATTTGATGCTAATGTTTTAAATATATAACCATATTAAAAATAAATTGATACATTAATTTTAATCAAAGCTAACAGAACACACTTAAGTATTATTGATATTTTCGTTGAAATTTAAATATTTATAAAACAATCAATTTTCATTTATATATCTTATTATTTATTTGATACTTTCATCATACTTTTATCTCGAAGATTCTATACAATTATAAAAATGTACAAAAAAAAAATGGCACTATAACCTAAAATAACTAACCAAATAATAATTAAAAGTATTTTTTTATTGAGCTCTTAGAAGGCTACTTTTGAAATAATAAACAAAAATATTCACTAATATAATCAAATGAGAAGGTTGATATTCGAGCATATTCATTTAAATGTTAGGGCTTAAATATTTTACTGAAGTTTGCTTATTTATTTAAATAAATGATATAAATGAGCTCTACATCACTAATAGTTTTTCACATAGCACATTTGTTCACTTACATCCTTAGTCAATCAATGACCTAGTTATTCAAAATTCTCAAGTTGGAAAATAGGAAACAAACATACTATTATAGTAGCATTACCCTTGTCTCCCCTAAAAAATTAGGATTTCTTTCTCTATGATATATTTAATTTTTTTTTAATGTGTTTTTCACTAAAATAAGTAATTCATCCCCCTTATAAATCTCTTAAATAGTTATATGTGGCCTGACTAAGAAAAAATTCTAGGTTCGACCCATTTTACAAATTATGTGTTAAACAATATTTTTAATAGTGTGCATTACATGCAAAGCGCATGATGCCCACATCACTTTGCTAGAGCGCGCTTTTAAGCGTTGAAGCAAAACGGTCAGTCCAGTTCACAATTTAGCGAGAGGGAATAAAGGACTATTGAATTAATTTAAGTTCTTTTATCAAACACGAGACTTTATTAGCTTATTTATGCTTTAAAATTTAAATTTTGATTTGAGTTATAAGATTTTATTTGTAATTTTTATGTTTTAATTATTACAACAAATTATTAGAAATTGTCCTTTATGTTAGGTATCAGACCACATTCTTTTCTATTTTATATCAACTTATACGTCATACTTTATATTTTAAAATTGTTAAAGAAGGTATTTACACATGAATAGTTTATATAACCTATTGGCACTTTAGTTAATGAAAGTGTCACTGCGCTCTATGCTTTGAAGCAAAAATAAAATCTTGTACATCGCATTGCATTTTGCGCTTTGATAACACTGAAATTAAACTGTGTCCATGTAGGTACATATGATTGAATGGGTGTGCCCTAGTTTTTGTAAATATGCCCTAGCAGAGATAGATGGATGCTCCTATATAATTAATTTGGATATAAAATATTAACCATCATATCTATAGAAATAGTGTTCTTCTAAGACAAATTGTATCTATACCTCCAAATTGAATCAAATATACATTTAGTATGTCCATGCTTTTAAATATATGAAATTTGTAGTAAATTAATATTTTTATTATTAGAAGCATAAGAAAATAAATAAAAAGCAGGACATGAGGTCTTCTTTTGCTTTAAATTGGGATATCATGGTCTCAAGTGAGAGGATGTTGAAAGACAACACATCATTATGTCCCTCTCATTTTGGAATGCTGATAAAAGAAATGAGTAGCTGTAAAAGAGCCATATAGTTCTATACCTTGAAGGTTGTTATTAGTCTAGGTTGAGCATTACTAAGCATCCCAATCTCCGAAGACCAGGTGTCCCCATTGCAACAAGCATAGTGTCCAATAATGCCCCCAATTAGAAAAGTTAAAAAGGTTGAATCATTTGTGTCCAAGCACCTGTCCTGGCCCCCAGTACTTATAGCAACTAGCAGAACTAAAATGGTTGCCAGTACACTATTAGCCAGAACCTGCAACCTGTAAGTCAGCATGAGATGAAACCCTCATGGTTAAAGCAGTAAGACACAAGAATTAACTTTAAGATTATCATGTATGTATTTTTTCCTCGTACTATGAAAATTAATTAGCATCTAAATGCTAACCAAATAGTTAGCTAAGTTCAATGATATATCCAGCTTAGAAAAAAGAAACACCGCGAACTAATTAAGTTTGTCACAAATGTCAACACAAACTTCCAAGATGAAATAATAACCATGCATCACTAACATATTATGCTAACCAAATAGTTTTAATCTTTTCAATCTAAGGATTTAATCCTAGATCTTTCCAGGATCCAGGATAAAACAGAAATTTCAAAGAAGCGCTGCATAACTCACTAATGGCTTACAGTGTCAGCTATATCCTACTCAATCTTAAGTCAATAACCTTTTCAACAGTTGCACAATCCACACAATTTATTACGCCTATCAAAAGCAACTGGACTTCATAATAGATTTTAAATAAAATATGATAGAAAACTATCGAATCCATGTCTAGGAGCTAAGAAAGCATTAGCTTAGCTGACACCAAGTTTGTTTGGGATTGCAATAATATAATAATAATAATAATAATAACTTTGTTTGGAATTGTATTGATAAGAAATCGATACCTAAGTGTGATAAAACAGAAGAGAGCAGAATTAAAAGAGCACCAGACATATAAATTCGAAACTGTCTCACACTATCTAAACCACTCCGAAGCATCTCTCACGCATTTTTCGTAACCATATCTTTCGGTGAAAAAAAAAGGAAATCATAATTTCAAAATAAGATGGAACTGTACGAAATTACGAACCTGAAATTCAGAGTGAAAGAAACTAAACAGCACATCCACTAAGGTTTAATCATCATCCAAAAAAATAATAAAAATGATAAAACAACAGACTAGTCATCTCACCAGTTCCGCTGACCTCCTTCCTTGAACTCCTCATCAACGCCCCTCTTCTTTTCCTCTCCGAGTTTGGTGAGCTTAGAAGAAGTTAAGAAGAAAACCAATAGGAGAGCCCCAAACCTTTAGATAGACGCGATCAAAGAGAATCAGAAGAGCCACTGCAACTCGGTTCGTGGAAAACGGAACAAACAGAAGAAGGGTCCCGACCTGTAACTGCTGGCGATGTGGATCACCATCACCAAAAACCCTGATAAAGCACCTGACAGATCTAGAGACTTCCGCCTGAGCGCCCCGAAAGAGATCACTGATGAGAACAGCACGGCCACAGCCAACCGGATTAAGAGAACCTCCATCTTGATTGCTTTCGTCCTCTTTTCCAAGCGATATCGATTTCACAGAGCAAGCCCGACTGATAGGAAGATGTAGGCGGTTAAGACTCTGCCGGCGCAAAGTACGAGTACTGGAAAAACGACAGTCCGCACATGGCATTTGTGGTAAAGATTTAGCGAGTGTTAAGAGGAACGTTTTGCACTCATTCAACTACTTATAGTTTATAGCGCCATCTTTTTGTGACATCATGTCGCGAGAATTTGTTCCATTTTACCATCTATTACAAAGACTTTGAAGAAGAAGCCGACTTAGAGCCCCACATTGGCTAGGTGTAGGGCCGAAAAACAGTATTTTAGTCTTGGGCTGCCCACCACCCATAAGGGCTCTTTTGGGAGGTGACAAGTAGTATCGGAGCAGATTACTGCCTGCCAGGTGTGTGGACTCTCCATGGTCCAATGGGACCCTCGGTGGAGCCGATCCGTGACGAGGGCGTCACGTGATTGGGTGGAGGAGAATGTCACGGACAAATAGTCCCACATTGGCTAGGTGTAGGGCCGAAAAGCAGTATTTAAGTCCTGGGCTGCCCACCACCCATAAGGGCTCTTTCGAGAGGTGATATAGGGCTGTTAAAGAGCTGAGCTAGCTCAGATTTGGCTCGTTCGAAATAATTCGTGTTTGAAATCAGTTCGTTTTCGAAATCGGCTCGTGAACAGTGTGTTCATGTTTGGCTCGATTTAAATATTCGTGTTCGTGTTCGGTTCGAAATTGGCTCGTTAAACTAAAGTTGAGAAAAATAGATGTAAAGTGTGAGATTCGAATCTGGATCAAATATATACAAACAAAGACACAAACCACATTGCCACATGAGGTGTTATGATTTAAACTTAAATATAAATATATATAATATATTATTATATAAATAATATATGTAATATATTGTTATATAAAAAGTTATATAATTTTTTTTTCGAGTCATTTCGAGCCGAACACGAGCGAACAAACTGTTGGTCGTGTTCGACTCGTTTACATTTCGAGCTTAAAAATTTGTTCGTGTTCGGCTTGTTAGGCTTAATGAACGAGCCGAACATGAGCTGTTTAATGAGCAGAATACGAGCTGTTCACGAACAACGAGCCAAATTGACAGCCCTACTTAGAACAAATTTTATTTATTCTAATTGGTGCCGTCGTCATTATGGTTCTCCTTGGACTAGACTGAAATGGAAATTTCCTCTTTTTGGAGAAATCTAATCTAAATAGCTATAAAATTAGGATGAAGCTTTCCTTTCAAGTTCCTAGTAATAGTAAAATTTCCTTATTTTTGATATTTGGCTATGAAAGCTCTATTTATAAGATCTTTGGTAGCTCTTCTACTTATTAGGTTAACTACAAAAATAATATTAATATTTCAAAAATTATTTCAAACAAAGAAATTTGATAATATGGATTGTAATACAAGGCCTTACTTAACCGCTTCTACTTGTAGTTTCTAGTAAAGATTATGGAATTTTTACTTTCATATATTGATTTACAATTTTCTTTCTGAGAATTATCTTAGCATTTTTGTTTGGTTTAAAGAATATTCTTTAAAGTTTGTGTCTTTTATTTAGAAACTCATGATTCAGGGGCTTAACCTATAGATGTTTTAATTGCTAGAACTTTATGGTGGATTCTATTTGTGTGCTTTGCAAAAGTTTTAATGAATCTCATTCTCTTTTTTTTTTACTTTGAATGCTAGTACTCTTTTAGAGTTTTAAACAATTGCGTTCCATATGGGAGCTTCTTTAATATGAGTTGTAAAAATGTTTTTCTTTTATCTATTCTTATTTCTGCTCATTATACATATATAGATAGAAAGAAATTATGGAATTTTCATGAAAAATTACTGCAATGAGAATATCATTAGCAAGAAAATAATTTATGTTATCAGACTCAAAAGCAAGAATTGGCTTTTTAATAAGGTGCTTCCTAATGTTGTTATTCTCTTTTTTGCTAGAAATTAATTTCTGGACATGATGTTTATTACTGGTAGTTTGTTGTTATGTTGACTTCACTTTTCATTCCACTGCATGATTGGATCTTATTGTGCTTATGTTGGAGATGGTATTCATGTTATCCTCTCCTCTTCATTCTGAACATATTCTTGTCAAAATTTTTTATTCCAGATGGATGCATTATGTTGACAATTTTCATTATTCGGTTCTTGTGCAAAATACAATTCTTTTGGGTGTTATATATGATATTATGGATGCTACTGCTTAGGTTTTTGCTAATATGTTTGTTGTTTTTTTTCAATTTTATTGCAAAGTTGTTTTGATTCGTGAGTTGTGATGGTGGTAAAAAAGAATAGATATTTCAACCAGTTGCGAAAAGGGTTTAGTTTATTTGAATTCTAAGTTTTATTTTTTTACATATGTTTTAAGATGGAATCTACCTGAATTGTGATGAATTACTGTTGGTCGCCAAATTAAAAGTTGTTGGTCGCCAAATTAAAAGTTGTTGGTCGCCGAAATGTATATCCCGGCCCCCGATTTTAAAAGATGTTTAATTTAATATATATATATAATTTAGAAAAAGTAATATTTCAATTTTTGAAAATACAAAACCGAACCGATCTCATATCTGCAATAGTTTAAATGATTCAGCACAACACCGCAAGTAATATATCTACCTTGAAGGATAGATACACTACTTGCTAAAGGTGTTTGATTAAATAAACTAAAGAATTTATGACTTCCGTTTGGTCTGCGAATCATTTTATACAAGCTGATAAATTCCCTATATAATATGAAAGATTAAGTAGGGTTTTTATTACCGAAGTTTTTTAAGCTCCATATAGAGGCAAGCCCTTATAATCAATTACATCTCAAATGACCGAGGTTACCTAAGAAAACTCTCAATTTAGATCAGAAAATATTGTCTTCAAGAATTCCAAATGAAGGACTTTTGAAGACTCAAATTTGGAACATTATTATGGAATCCAAAGGAAGGAAAACTAGGGGTTGTCACAGATCTTGAGGAGAACCTCAATGACTTCCCAAGCTACCCTATGGTTTGACTTCAATTTCAAGAAGAAAATTATTGAGTATTTCATCTTGCTAGTTTTATTTAGTTAGAGCTTACATTTGCATGACACAATCATACAAATAGCATAGAAGAGAGGAGGATTTATGTTGTATCGGACGACAATCTCAGAGTCCTAAAATGAGTTAGGGCTTAGATTGCATGATATGATCACATAAAAACTTAATGATAAAATGAGGATTTATGCCGCACTAGGCAGACAACCTCAAAGACTTATGACTTGTTATTTAATTCTAAGAGAATTTGTTGTTGTAGATCCTCATGTTGTTGCAGATTGTTGTTGTAGAAGGCTGCCCACAAAGTTAGCATTAAGCTCCTCGGTGAAGTAACAGTCCTAAAGTCTAAGAGTTCAAAGTTTAAATGACAAGTTCAGTTCAAAATGAGAGGATTAAAGTTGATTAGAGCGACACTGGTTAGGATCTTACGGTTCCCTAGTTCCGGTACCACTATTTTCTTTTGAATTTACTTAACTTAAACGAGTTGTTAATCTCATTTAAATCAGAGAGATCTCGTTAGCAACCGTAGGTCACCTCATCCGAGGGACTTCCATAAATTCAAAAGGACGTGTCATGAAGTTGATGTTTTTGTTTTGGTTTAAAAAATGTTGTTTAATTTTGAAAAAGGTTGATTGACTTTGAAATAGTTTTTTTGTTTTAATGTCACATGCAGATTTGTTTCAAGTTTTGCTGAGCAAAGTAAACAGGTACAGGTAAGAAAGTGCTATAAAGAAAACAAAATTTGTATTACAAAATGTAAAAGTCTGCGAATTTATTATGTTGACTGACAAGTTCCCCTATTTAATATGAAGAATTGGATCAGTCAACATAATAAATTCGCAGTTCAAAATAACAGGTACAGGTAAGAAAGTGCTGTAAAGAAAACAAAATTTGTATTACAAAATGTAAAAGCGTACCTGTCATCTTTTCACTGCTCACGCTGAAATGTTAGAACTTGCAACATATAAATATTTTTTTAGGAAATTTAAATAAATTACAAGAACATGAAGACCAGACGAAGGTGTAGCTACAAAACCGCGAGTCATGACTTGATGAGTCTCTAAAGGTCTTAATGGATGATTTTCTGAACAAAGGACAATAGGTCAAATTGTCCTTCAAAATATTTGAAAGGTCATAAAAGTGTTTAGGGAACAATCCCTAACAACTTTTAAATCTTTCTGAAATATTTCAAGTTCATTTGAACCTATTATATTGTTCAATTGAACATCCCAAATTTTAAACTTAGTTTCAATGAATTAATACACCCTATGTTCAGAGAACTTGATATTTTAATTGTCTCAAGAGTGGAATAGTCCAAATATTCACTCAATGTTTTACTTAGGAGTTATATAAGTGAATGCTCCTAAGGCAAGTTTAATTCATTAAAGATCTTGTATCCACCACTAAATTTGGGCTTGTAGTGTTTTCAAAATATTTATAATTAGTTATCTTATCTTTTCTAAACCTCATTAAATAAGTTCAAATATCAGACCCAGCTTACCACTAAGCCCATAGTAATTTTCATGGGTGAATTTGCAATTATCAAAGTATTAATTTAAGTGGGATATATTCTTATCAAAAGTTCATGCTATCGTCAAATCACCAATTATGGGCTTCAAATAAGTGAACTATTATCTTCTTAACATAAGCCCATCACTTTGGAATCACCTGGTTAGATTAACTTCCAAGTCATGACAATTTATGAAATTACAATTTTACCTTTATTATGAAAAGGTGGCAAATTCATTTCTAACTTTTAAACCCATCATATTTCAAACATAAAAAAGAGTTCATTAGGATCAAAATTACCCATTTACCCTTTAGTTAATCCTAAATTTTAATTAAGGCATCAAAATATAAAATTATCATTTTGCCCCTAGGGCTCTCCACTCCATAACTTATCAAATATAACTCAAATGACTTTGAAATTTTTAGAGTACCTCACTCATGGGTCAATTAAAATATCAGAGGAGAAAATGTGCTTTTCAAAATTTAATTTAATTTGAATAATTATTTTAACTCAAAAAATAAGATATTCAATATTAATTTATTTAACTAATCAAAGTAGAATTTTTGTTCATGAAAAAATTATTGGAGGTTTACCTAGGTTAGAAGACCACTTGAACAAAATTTTAT